TTYMSRGGATTGTGGGACATAATTAGRTATCWGTTCCACGATACCTTCGATTKTATATACTCAGAAATGTCTSGGTGTAGCGTTCGTGTTCGTGGTGTGCCAAAGGAGTTGTCTAAAACCGACTTGGAGATCTATTTTCAAAGCAGAAAGAAATCTAATGGTGGAGATATAGACAAGATTGAGGTTGACCGAGACCGAGGCGAAGCAAGGATCGTATTTAAGGAAACTTCAGGTATAATTTTATCGTTTTTATCTTTGAGTTCAAATGCTTATTATACCGCAAAAGAAGACTTGCATTTATATTAGAATAGAAAAGAAATAATTATGTCTCTTTTAATTCTTAATACGTGCCATCACGACGAGTATATAACATGAACGAAGCTTGTAATCATTTCCGGCTTCACTCCTCGTCCACAAGTTCAACGTAAAAACACATTTGACTTTATTCTAACGAGTAGATTTCTTTGAAATCTTTCCCTAACTACTTGTATTGAATTCACTTCACGCTTCGGTTGGTATTAGCTCGGTTCTCTAGGGAAAAACTGTATAAATCATAACAATAGAATCGAAAGTGAAAGTATTTGTCAATGAACACGCTCTCCAAGCTAGCGTTGGGGAAATTTCCTCGGCTTCTCAATGGCTACTACGTATAGAAGAGCGTTTCATAGTATATTCGATTTTAATGTCTTTATTATTATTATTTATTGATATTAAATTCAGCATTCTAAAAAGCTGAAATTTTATTTCTAAAAGTCCTAGCCTTTTCAACAGGCTGAAGAAAGTGATACTGATGGTTTAATGAACTTCGATATCTAGAAATAGCGTCACTATGCGTGACGACAATTTTCTTTACTTAATTGTGTGATAAATTACACACAAAGATTTTCAATGAAGGTGTTCCAGCATTCAGAGCATTAATATCCCTTTTCAGAAGCAAACGTATGACTTTGTCAGTAAGCTCTAAAAACAGTGTTGAAGAATTCCAAATTTTGGCCAAAGGTTTTTTTAACATCAGTTTGATTTATTTCGTTTACTTGTGTGCTGATGTATGTTATCTTATTTTTTAATTTGTTTAATTCAATTGTTATCCCACCCCCTAAAGTTGCCGAGAAGGTCCTTACTAAAGCAAAACACGAATATAAAGGAGCTCGTTTAACTGTGGTCGAAGAAATGCAGTCTAGAGAAGATAGAACAAGTAAAAGACCCGGCGATGAAGAAGAGGAAGAAGATTCTGAGGTAACTGTCTCTAAACGAAAAATAACTCAAGTAACATAGAAATTATCCTTTCCTCTGTTCGGATACGATTGAAATTTAATTTGGTTTTAAAAATATAGAACGTCTCAGGAGGACTGAAATTGCTATTTTGTTTGAAAAGTTAGAGAACATTTTCGTACTGAAATGTTGGCATTTCCAAAATAATAAGCGTCAATGATTTATTTTAGTGTGCTTCCGTTCTGGTCAGCGGTTTATCTAGTAACACTACAAAGGACGCCATACAAATGTACTTTGAAAATTCTCGTCGGTCTCACGGTGGTGACATCATAAACGTCGAACTCAATGACAATCAAGCTGTCGTTACGTTCGAATCTCCAAATGGTAAGTTGACTGATGTTGTTGTTGGGTTACAAGCATTCCCAAGAGAGTTTAAAAACAAAAGCATAGAGGCCATTGTGGTGCCGTTAACGATGGATGCTAATGAGAAATCTTTTGTTAAATGGCACCAACATGGCCGCGATGACGTAACGTGCAATCGAAAAATTAGCCAGTGCAAGATTGAGGGGAGAGGGTCTGGGTCTAGTCGACATTGCATTGCATCGTGGGACTGTTTTAGGAGACATATTTCTAAAATTGAGTGTACTGATTTTGTCCCCTAAAAGAGTCCCACGTTCTAATAGGACAGCATTTTGCATGAAGATTTAAATCTTTTTCGGTGCTAAAACAAAACGGATCGCTCTAAAGAACTGCTTAAAATGGATTTGTGCTTTTTAAGGCCAGATTATGAATAAGATGCAAAAAGTATTCGTTTTTGGACTAGAATTTTTCGTCAGAAGTAGCTTCTGAAAGTGAGTTTTATGAGCATTTTGCATTTTGTGCGTTGTTGTCCATAACGCGCGGCATCGATATCAAGGAAGAGGTTATTACTGGGTTGCCTGTGGTTTTCTTTTGCAGTCGATCTCCTCGCGAAACGTGCATTCTTGCGCAAGAGTACCCATATATGGATTTGAATGACGTGTTCATAGATAAATGCTTATAGATTGGCTTAGCAGCTGAGGATGTAATAGGCCCTTTGCAGGATTAGGTCACGTGCTTGGTTACCGCGTAGCAACGCCATGTTGGGACGCAAGCGTCCCAAGCGCCATATTGAAATTATAGCGTGACGAAGCCATACTTGAAGTTTTATATTCAATTTATTTGCGATCTGTTCGAATCTGTTTTAGTATTAGTCAATTTTCTTAAAGTTATTAGTCTCTTGGATTGTTTTCTTCGARTTTTTTGTTTATATTTCAAACATCAAGACGATTTTTTGACGTTTAAACCCGAAGTGAGCAGTGGACCGCATGGCGAACAATGGTCAAGGTAAGCAACCTTATTATTCATTCTTTATTTAGCGCTTTCTGTGTTCT